GGCAGCGGGGGGGGGGGAGAACAAACGCAGAAAATAGGTGGAGGTTGTTGTGCTTACATTTTTCGATGTATTTATGCTGGGGATCTGCTATGTGACTTCCTGAGGAGACTCTTCTTGTGCTGCTGCTCTTCAGCAGATCTGCTGTGAGTACAAAAGCTATGTTTTCCTTGTGGTGCTTACATGTTACTTTGGAGTTGTCGCAGCTATAGTGTATCTAACTCAAGCGTTGTAATACACTGGAAATGTTTTTATGAAATCTGCTTTCTTAAAGTGTTTGGATTTTGTTAGGAGAAACAGATTAGTTGCTAATGATACCTTGGCCAGGTAACTGTGAAGGATTCCCCCTGCTTGTCTGTTTAAAGCTGGCTAACACTTCCCTGCAGGATATCTAGGAAAGTCGAAATGCTGCTACATTGAGCAGCAGGATGAAGACAGTTTGTCAGATAACTCATTTCCAGCTCTTCTGATTTTGTTGTGTTTTTTTGTGTATTGTGTGGAGCTTGAAAAGTATTTTTGGACCTGTTAGTAACTACAATAAGGAGCCTGGCAGGACTAGATTGGTTTGGAAAACTGTTTGAACCCAAAATTCTGGACCTGGGCTACTTTCACCACTGTCCTGGTGTACACTCAGTCAGACTTGTTTCCCAGGAGAGCAAAGTATGGCAAACTGTGGAAGTGTTTCTTAGGTGTGATGGAGTACTTCTGTTCAGTACTTCTGTAAAGCTCTGTTAAGGTCTTCACTAGGTTTTTTGGCATGCAGGCCTTTTCTGGTTGGTTTGTTCGTTTGTTTTTAAGAAAAGCTCAGTTCCCAGTACTCAATTTTCACAATGACATACTAGGATTTATCGTTTAGTCCTGAAATCTAACACTAGAATAATAAAACCTTAACATCAGTATTTCTGTGCCAAGTTCAGATCTGTCTTGCTTTTCCAATGCAGTAACATGTTTAAGCAACTACAGTGAAGGCAACTTACAGATTGATCCTAACTTGCGATTAAAAAAAATATTTTAAAATTGTAATTGTGTACATTTAAGAAGAAGATTTATAAGCTCAGTATGGAGTAATAAAGATGTTATCAACAATTGCAGAAGTAACAGTATAAAGTAAAAAATCTTACTTTATTGTTTACCTAAAACAAGCCTACAAAAAGCTACTCAGACCTGCCTGTATAGACACAAAGTGCACAAGGTCATTAAAATGCTGTTAGAGCTGCTCTTTGGGGTAAGAAAACAGGCTTGTACATTGCTTCGCTAAGAACCAGTAATTCTATTCCTCATCATTTGCTGGGATGTGATTTCTATCTGCAATCATTAACAATTGATTTCTGCTTTCACTGACTAAACGAGGCAGTAGGGTCACAAAGATTAAAACAGCTGGCTTTGTTAAGAAACTGGGAGACTTGGATGAGAGGATAGATAGGTCCCCCCAGAAAAAAAAATAAAAAATGAGGCTGTCACTGCTATAAGCTGCCTTATACTGACTGATGGTAATCAATTGTACAGAGAAACCAGATTAGCTGATTAAAATTCACAAAAGAAAGAGGGAAAAGAATAGAGGGAGAATCTTTGTTTATCTTAAAAGAGTGAATACTTGGTAGTGTCTTTAAAATCTCTCTGTATAGGAGTAAACAAAAGTAAACATTAATCACAAAACCCACAGTTTGATTCTTCCAAATATATCAGACTGTTAATCTTCACTGGAACAAAAGCTCTTTGTTTAGGAAAATCACAGTGTGATATAGACACGAAGAGCCAGATAGAAATAAAGGGCTAAGGAGGAATTCAGACAGTGATATTCAAAGCTGCAATCCTGAAAACAAAAATCCATTTGGTGCTTTATCCTGGTGGGCATCTCGGTTTTTGAGGCAGGTGCTGCTGCCTTGTGTCTGAATCTGCCTTTCATTTGCACCCAAAAGTGCACCAGGAATGAGCAACTTGTGCCTTTTTGATGTCTAAGGCCACTAGAAGAGAGTTTTGTGCTGCCTGTCATCAGCATATCTCAACACAGCAAGGATCTTCTAAGAGGTGTGGTAGCTCAGATTCTTTGCAGAGCAGGGTAGGATCCACTCCTTGGTTTTAAATTGCAGATAGTAATTGTTTGGCTCCAAGTTTAGAAACTGGCTCTGCATGATTTATTCCTTGGTCTGAGGGAGTGATTAAAACACCACTTCTATTTCCTAGCTTAATGGTTAGGATACTCTCTGTAGGTAATGGTGGTAAGGACCTCTTGATCCTTCCTTTCTCAAATCCTGTCTTTCAGTACACAAAACATCTTAAGGTTTGTGGGCAAGAGCTGGACTGTGTGTCCCTGGGATAGAAGAATCCTGAGTTCAAGTCCCTTTTTTAGAGATGTTCTAATGGGTAACTGCCCAGAGAGGTTCTTCATTATTCTGTTGACATTACCCACAAACATTAGTTATTAAGACGCTGATCTAGGAAGTGGAGAGAAGGGTCTGAATTGATTCAAAGTGAAAAGGCAGTTCTTCCTTCTTCCTGTGGGCCCTATGTGCTACGCTGTTGGTGATGGCAGCAGCATTTCTGCCCCTCCATCAAATTGTAGCACCTGCCCCTTTCTGAAGTTGAATATTCTCAAGAGCAGGATCAGAACTGAAGCCTTGGAAGGGACTTGAGATTTAGAAGTTACACTCTCCATTCCTACTGTGAATGGGGAGGCTAAGTGACTTGCTACCTTCTGTAGGTTCTGCTGTCAAATGCCAGTTCTTACCTTACTGCATTACTTACACTTACTTTAAGCCTGGGGATTCTGTTCTGGGACTGGGAACCTGGAGATCAGGAATTGCAGTATTTAGTGTCAAAGGAAGTGTTCTTTCTTCTGAAGCTGGAGCTGTGTCTGAAAGCCTACCTGCATCTGAGTTATAAGTTTGTTTCCAATATGTTTTGGGCAAAGCTACTAATATGGAAATAGGAAGTATCTAGTGGTTGACTACTAGGTGGCCGATAAATTTATCCTTATTCGACTACTGCTTTCCACAGCTGTACCATTGTGATGCATTCCTGAGTTGACACACCTCCCCAGAGGAGGAACTAACCTATCCATGGCACAACAGTGGTAGAAATGCTGGCATGGCACAGTATCTTTTTTATGTTCGGTTGCTGAGCTGCCTTCTTTGTTTGAATCCTCCTGTGTTTCACTTTCTACTCCCTCTCCTCCCCCCCCAAACTGAAACTTATAAGCTGTGATTAGAGTTCAGGTTATTTGGAGGTTAAATTTTTACTGCGGTCACTTTGAACATAAACATAGCTCTGTACTGGATTGGAGGAAGTGGGGGAGGTTGTGCAGCACTGCCCTCTGGTTCTGTACTACTACTACGTAAGACAATAAGCTTGTAACTTTCCTTTTCTACTAGATTCTAGTTATAGCCCATGCGATATGTATTAAAGGATTAGTAACCTTGGTTTCTCCTTGTGAACTGAGAATGTAGAGTTGCGATCTGTTCAGCTTCTGCTAGCTGCCTCCTCCCTAGGCCATGGGTTCTGGAGAGCACACAGTCCACGTAGATATCCCAGAAGAGCTGAGCCAGGTCCCAGAACAGAGCCCCATGTTTCAAGTTCTCTGATGACTTCAGGAAGATCATGAAGTCCCAAAAGCCACTGACAGAGTCAGAAATGCGAGGCTTCCTCATCTCCAGTAAGACAGCTGAGGAGGATTCCCAACACTGAGGATCTGCTCGCCCAAGAGCTAGTGGATCAATTTGGCTATGACAGAGGAAAGGTGTCACACAGAAGGCTCCCAGGATTATCAGGGAGCAAGTGAGTCTCATGTTGCAGTGGATTCTGTCTGCTCCCAAGGTCCGTTGTATCACTGAAATATAACAAAACCAAAAGATGAAAAACTTCTTGGTGTTAGATGCAGAAACAAAGCCCTAGTACCTCACGTTGTATAGAAGGCACTTCAGATCTTGATAGTTGTTTCTCTGCTCTTTAAAGATCTCTTGTATGCTTTCTTGCATGCATGAATATAAATACTAGTTGAGTTGCATTACTCTGTGCAGCAGAAGCATGTGTTAAAATTTGTTAATCATCCTCAAATTCATATGATGAACTCTCCATCTGGAGCTTCTTAATATTCCAAGTTTTTTGCCTTTCTTCATTTATAGATCCCTGACTTCTTTCAGTAAAATACATTCCTTTTTCCAGGGAATTTAAGCCTTTAGGTGGTCTTGCTTTCCTCAGAATTGTATGATCCCTTGAAAACAGTCTATAGATTCACAGGGAATCTGAGTGGACAGCATGTGGAAAACTATTTGTTGAAAGTGTGCTCTAATGAATTAATGATGGGTGGCAAAATCATCCATTGAACATGAGCATTTTACCTGCTAAAATGCAGAACACTTCTGAAAAGACAGTACAGCAAAGCTACAGGAAAGTGGCTGTATTGTACAGCATGTGTACGTGCCTATGTATGTATAAAAGTACAGACACTTATTGCAGATGGCTAACAGTTGTCTGTTATGTTAGAATTGTGAAGCTTGCTAAGTAGCAGCTATAGTTTGAGAAATCCTGAGAATAAGCTTTTGCAGGGACAGAAAGACCCAGGTCTCCATCAGATTTCATGTCTAGTATGTGCTTCTATTGTGCATTTTCTAACAAGTTTCTAGTATTTTTAGTATTGCATTTTTGATACACATTTCTATTGTGTAACATGTTTGGGGATTCCTTTTAGCATAGCTCATGGCATATGGAGAACCTGCTATCTGTGGAAATCCTCAACACCTGAGATCATCTTTTAGGGCAAACCTGTTTAGTGCGTGTGTGTGAATGTTCATGATTTTGTGGCTTTGTTTTGGTTGTTGGAGGCTGTTGAGGGGGAAGAAGCTACCTCTTTTAATTATCTTAATAATCAGCTGGTGTTTTGTGTAAAAAAAAACAAAACAAAACACACCCCAAAAACAACCAAAAAACCCCACAAAAAACCAAACAAACAAAACCACAAACCCAAACAAAAACCCACAACAAAACAAAAACAAAAATACCACAACCAAAAATCTCTTCCATGAGTGATCATCGAGAGTATAAGCAATGTTTCCCTCCGATGTGAAGAAAAATGTTGAAGGCAGAATAAGTGTGTGCAGCTAGATTATGTGTGACAGGTAGTCCAGCCACAGCCAGTATGAAAGACTAGGGAAGGGCAGGCTGCTTTGTGGAATATATTTCACTGTAGAGCGAAAGGACTCTTCAGATATTTCAGACCTGACAATGACAGTCTCACCTAGCCAGCTATTTGGCTACCTGGTCAGGTTCTGGGAACCCTTTGTAGGTATTCAGACTTCACTCTTCAACTGCTTACAGTCACTTTTTATAGTGCTGGTAGTAATGGTGTTGCCTCAATGCTGCTCCCAAGATCTCCAAAAGCATCATTCTTCTGTACCCTATTGCACAAGGCAGGTTTAGATTACTTTCTCAGAGGAAAAACCAAAGACATCCTGTGAGTACTACTGCATTCTCACTTAATTGTGCATCAGAGCCTTTCCACTGGGCAGCCAACACATGTGCAAATATGCTATGGAATATGCACATATCTGTTTACCAAGACTTCTTCAAGGGACATAATTAACTTTGTTTGTCAAGCTTCTACAATATTATATATGACCATGGGGATTAAAAAAAACCAAAACTCGCCAACAACAGATAGTTTAAACAAAGGAGTAATGCTATCATTGGCTTTTAAGGATGGTTCTGTCACTTGGACAGGGGCCATCTAGTTTGCGCTGGTTAACAGCTGAACTGGTTGCTTTGCTATCTCTGCTCCAGAGCTCCTTTGGAAACTTTGTACGTTACAAAATTGGGTAAGACAAGAACAAGGGTCCTGGATTTGTCAGCAGTGTGAGCAAAGGGATTGTCCTGGGCTGGGGATTGGTAGGGCATTAATATAAGGGTGGGTGCCATTTCAGGTGTGGTGTGAATGGCAGTGGTCAGGGTCAGCATCCAAAACCAGTAGCCCTTATGGTCTGGTCAAACTTTGCTGCTGGTCTTCTACAAGGCTCAGGATATTTATATATATATCTTTTTTTTTTTTTTTTTTTTAGATAGCTGAGAGATGAATTGATGCTCAAGAAATGTCAGTTTTCATTAATCTCTTACTTGTATGTGTGGTGAATGCTTCCATGTAATTCCCCCTTTCGCCCTCCAATATTCAAGGCTTTCTGTCCAGAAACTCAAGTGCGTGTGCTGTTTACATCTTCTAGCTCTGACTCCCCCCCGCCCCCCTTTCTCAGAGTTTTAACCCCCATTCCACTTCCCGTCATGAATAGCGACTTAACAATGGTATTGCAAAAGTTACTTAGTTCACTCATGATCACCTTTGCACTTGGTTGGAGCTATTAGCTGTGTCTGGTCCCTCCATCCTAGACCTTAGAGATACCGAACCGGGTCCCACAGGGCAGGGCGGGTGCCCGCCTCGTCAATGACCG